CCTGCTCCGCTCTAGAAGGTGTGCAACAGCAGCAGGTGTCCCTCAGATGAGATTTTTGCCTTTACGTAGGGAGTATGAGAGTACTGGAAGTTTGTAATTTTTGTGATTCTGGATGCAAAATTCTGTTTTTTCTGACCACAAAAAAAACCTTGTGACACCAACTCTTCACTGGCATGCAAGATTTATTATTAAAATGTTTTCTTCTGGCAATCAAGGCCCTAAGGATTTATGTGTTTTTTTCCAAATTCAACATTTGTGTTCTTAAAAATATTACTTCTGCCTACAAAGTCAGCTCTTAGAGCTTCAGCAAAGGCAGTATCTTTCCATTTGGAGTAAAAAGCAGAAGAGGGAGAAAAAAGGGTAAGGCCCCACATTGTCATTCGGAGCTAGCATGAACACGTCCTGTCTCAGATATTTTCTGAATTGCTTAATCTTTATGCCTTCTTATCTCATCTATATAGGAAGGATAACAACTCTGCCTTGTTTGGAGGCAGAGCTCATTTCATACTATGGCATCTAGTCCAGTGGGAAGCTGATTTAGTCCCAGCTTGAGCCAATATTATTTGCAGAAGCTATGTAATGCAGAGATGGCTTCTCAGTGTCCTGGAAAAGTGCACTGAAGAGGCAGGTATATGCACTGTGTTAAGACAAAATAATAAAAAATCAGAAAAAAAAGGCTTTCTTTCCATCTGCAGTAACTACAAGCTTACCCACGCAGGGATATGAATCAAGGCATTGTCCAGCACTTGCTCAAACTCAGCAGGCCAGAAAGTCAAATCACTTTTCAAAGGCATGTCACACAGTTAAAGGACAAAGGTTCCTGTGTACTTGAAGTACAGGGCAAGCAGTGATCCGTGGGTCTTTGTAGAAACAATGACCACAACAGAAACCGTTGAGGTTAGCAAACACAGATAAGTAGTAATGACAGCAGCTTTGATGAAGGCATCATCATGTATTGCTGTGGAGAGAAAATACAGAACACTGGATGTGGTGAAGCTGGATATCTGTCTAAATCAAAGCACATTACGTGACCCACATGTGAAGGAGCATGCAAAGGTGAAAATCTGTTATCAATCAACTCGAAAATCAGTCTGTTTCATTTTGAAAGAAAAAAAAAAAATGCAGGTCTGTGTGTCAGTACAAACAATATGCAGTGTTTAAACATCAAGATCCCATTTCCCAACACTATAAGAATGTTCAAAACAGTCCTAAACTAAATAAATCCTTGTGATTGTTGCATCTTACTTGTATTGCAGCTCTCAGCTTCTGTTTTCTAACTTTCTTCAGAATATCCCTTCAAACTGAGACTTCTGTGTAACCCCCCAAATCCAGAAGCTAGAACATAAAAAAGAGCACACACAAACTGCTGTTAAGAACTGCTACAGACAGCAATGTGATTTTATTATCATATTAACCAGAATAACAAGATGGCACAGACCAAATGTATGATAATCTCAAACATCTTCCAAAGCCCAGAATAACAGGGAGAAGAACAGTCCCTCCAAGACGAAGCAGAAACTTTATCAACTTATTCCAACAGGGAAATTTTCCATTTTCAATGTCATAAGAAATAAAGCAGAAAGTAAAATTCTAATGGCCACACAAGGAAGTCACTTAAAACTTCAGCTGATCTGTATGCTGAGTTATTTGTAATTGAAAAGCCAGCTAGCTCACAGGTAATCACTGAGGCATGAAATTTAGAGAAAGCTATAAAACATGAACATTAGCAGCAGAAAGCTTTCGAAGACAGCTTAACTCTCAGAAGCAAGGACATTCTCCATCTGAAAGGCAGCGCCTGTAGTTTTTGCCATCACAAGTTAGATTATTCAGGCTCTAAGACAGCGATTTATTTGGATGTTATACATTTCAATGAATACCATTTGACATTCATTCTGTCCCCAGTGTTCCAAAGAGCTAACTGCACTGATTTCTGAGAGATTACAAAGTGATGAAGTTTTCTTGGATGAAATTTTAATTTGAGCAGAGCCTTTAAAGAGCACAATAAAATACTGAGTTCCTTATTTATTTATTTACTTATTACTGACGTAGCCACAAAGTCTCCTGACATTAAATTTTTAAAAGTATGCACCAGTCAGGAAAAAAAGTTATTTTCTGGGGCTTCTCATCTGCTCTCAAAGGTGATTCAGGTAAAAGAAAGTGAGAGTTAAGTGTATATACCGTGATGAAAAAAGGAATGCATCCTCACTGTGAGAGTGATAAACCCAGCAAAGCTCCTGCAAAGAAAAATACAGCGTATTATATGCTGTGCTCAGCACAAAGCAGACTGCTCAAACACAGGTTAGTGGACTTAATCTAAAGTCAACAGAGGAAATTTTATGGTTTATGACATGTGGGAGATGAGATCATGTGATCCAAATGCCTAAATTCTACACCAGTGAAGGTTTAAAGGAACATACAATACACAAGTAAAATACAAGACAATAAACTGATCTTGTTTAGCATTTCAGGAAAAAAGAATTGTAAATATAATTTTCCATTGAAGTCAAAGAATACGGGAAGAATGTGCAACTCTATCTGCAGGAGTATGGCAGGTATTAGCTGTACCAAAGTCACCCAGAGACATGACAAATGCTGTTATCACCATGTCTGCCAAGACCAAGCGTAGCTGAAGCCAGAATGCAGTTAGGAGAAACACTAATGATCATCCCCTGAGAAAGGCTGCCAGATCCTGTTAAAAGAAGTGGAAGAAATATAATGTATTAATAATAGCTACGTGGTTCCACAAAGCGTTAAAAAATCCATGGCTCATGTCGGATGGTGATCTTTGTGCAGTTCTGGGGCAGCAACAGATCTAAACCTGGGGAATGCATTTCACCAAAAAGCATGCGCCTATTTAACTTCTCAGGGCTCTAACTAGCTCCAAGAGCCTGAGCAGACTCCAATGCAGGAGACTGTGAATGCACTTGAAGAAAATATCTTGCCTTCCCTCTTCAGCAAAATGACCCCATGCGCTCGTTAAATTTTATCCTGCAGGTAATTGCAGACTAAAATCATAGCAGGGTTGCACTCAGCCTTGCTGGTCAAAGGAGGCATTGCCCGTATTAAGGTTTCTTCATACTGAAGATATTTAATAAGAAGGGACTCAGATTTTCTCAGAGACCTACATAATTGACAGCGTTATTAATTGGTGCAACAGAAATAGAAATGCAATACTGTTTGCAGAGGCTTACTTTTGAGATAGAAAAGGGCATATGTTTTCCAATGAGACAATAAATCAGTGCAGCTTGTAACGCATTAATTTGTTAAATCAAAACATGTTTAGCAGTGTAGGCAATTATGTTTTTGCATAAGGAGGCCTCATAAGACATTTATAAGGTTACACTGCTTTGACACTAAACACATGTGATGATGTGATCAGGTGAGCCTGATAAAGTTAATTGATGTAAATGCCATGTTTAACTAGTAGAAAAAGCTATCCTGTGTGATACATGTGTATGAACAGCTTAAAAAAAACCTGTAATTCTATTTTAGGGGCTAAAGGAGAATGTTTGACAGATAAGGTATAATTGGAAATGCTTTCCCCACAGTCATATCACTGGCAGCTATCCTTTATCAGACCAAAATATGTGCTGAACAATGTTCAAGTAAGGACAAATATGTCAGAGGCTAGAATGCTCACTTTTATTTCAGCAAAAGGCTATTAAATCACTTCTTGTTCAGTGTCTGCTTTTCAAAACACAGTATCATCCTCACAAATATGCTAACTCACATGACTTGCAGGGACAAACCCGGCACAGAACAAGGAGCTGAACAGCCTCAGTTTTTGCTAGTTTAGCAGAAGACAAGAAAATGGAGAAATATTCATAGAATCATATAATGGCCTGGGTTGAAAAGGACCACGATGATCATCTAGTTTCAACCCCCCTGCTATGTGCAGGGTCATCAACCATTATACCAGGATGCCCAGAGCCGCATCAGGCTACACACCCAGCCACTGCCCACCCAAATTAGTCCAAAAAAGTGATTTGGATTTCTTTAAGAGGAAAATCACAAGTGAGAAGTGACACGCTGAACAGGAAGTAAACAGTTAATATTTCCCAAGAATGAGCACTGAGACTGTCTTGTCCAGAAAGATGCATTTGCACGATCACAATGACAAATACTGACACAGGATGCCAGGAACCATCCAACAAGACTCCAAAGAGAACTAAGAATAAGAAGATTGGCACTGAGGTGACATTTGCAGGGACTGGAGAGCAACCTGCAGAGAATGGATGCCTGTTAATGAGCCACAGATTAACTGCTATCAGCCACCACTAGAGATCATTGCCATATGAAATAACGAGCGCTGCTTGTACCGCTCTCTCCCTATGGGACTCTATCTGAGGGAGAATGAACCTCTCTCCTCCTCCAGCACCAGCTTGTTACTGCCAGCGTTGGCTATAATTGAATAAGCTTTATTCAGATGATAGCTAAATTTAGCAGACATTAGCAGCAAGTCTCTGGAGAGGCAAAAGTGGGGGAGGAAAGCTTTAAATAAACACGCTAAAGTAATACTGAATAATAGATGCAATTAATGGCGGAGCAAAACTCTGCGCCTCAGGAGCTGGGCACAGTTAAACCCGCTTTGGGGGGCCTTGCAGAGACAAAATGTGACAGTGCTGCTGGATGCTCCCCTTCCTCTCAGCTGGTAATTATTGCCTCCCCTGTGATCACCACCACAGCAGGGCCTCAAAAAGCCTGTTCCCTATGCATTAATTCAGTAAGGGTACACTACAGAGGGCCTGCAGACCCGGCAGGAGAGAGGAAAGCCAGGCATCAGCGTTGCATCTGTACACAAAGCCAGCTCACGGCTGGCCCAAGGCAGCATCCACAAAGCACGGAGCCTCAATACAGCTCCGCATTGCTTCCTTCCAGCCTAAACCCTCTCCCAGCTTCGCTCACGCATGCGCGCCCAGCCGGGGGAAAGACGGCAGCATGGCTGTTCAAAGGGCGGAAGTGGTCTCAGGAGAGGGCGGAAGTGCGTTGGGTAAGCCGGAAGTGGGTGAAAGGCGGGGGTGTGTGGCCATGTCTGCTTCGTTGCTACGGCGGGGCCTGGAGCTACTGGAGGCACCGGGTAGGCCCGAGGGGCCGGAGGCAGGGGAGGAGGGGATTGTCGCAGTGTGTGGCCCTGGTAACCTTCCTCATCTCGTCTTTCAGGCCGGGGGAAGACCCCGCCGGGACTCCAGCAGGGGCGTGATGGCGGCAGACCGGCAGGAGCCGCCCGGCGGAGGAAGGTAATGGCGGGGCCTGGGAAGAACAAGGCTACGATCAAGGGCAGAGTCGTGAAGTCGGCGATAGGTGAGTCTTGGCTTAGCTCTAGCGAAGAGCGGCCTTATTGCTCTCTACACTCTCAGGCCAGGTCCTTTCGTGGTATCCTGCCGCCTCTGTCAGGATCACCTGTGGCTATCCCTCCCCATCCTCCTTGTAGCAGCTTTCAGGTACTGCCTGGGCAATCAGGTGATGTGTTTTGTCTCACTGTGCTCTGACCTAGAGGAGTATCACAAGAAGAAAGCTGTAAATCACCTCAAAGCGAATTTGCAGTACATGACAAGCGGACGATGCGTTGCTGACAGAGCTGTAACCCAGCAAGTAAGGATGACACTTCTTTCTTCCTCTGAGGAGCATAGATGAATGGGAATTATCTTTAGATCTTCCAGCTTAGTCCTTGTGCAAAAGAGTTACGTTTCTGCTTGGTAGTGGCCTTGAAGTGTTTCTTTGTGCTCAAGCAAAACACCTTACTAAGCTTTAGATTTTTGTTGATAGCTTATTTCTTACAGTGTTCTCGTTAGAATCTGGTTAGAATCTTATTTCTTACAGCTACTCGTTATAATCTGGTAACTGTTGACTTCTCTTGGTTACTAAAGGTATTTCACAGCAAAGCCCTGGTTCAGACTTCCCTTCTGTTCTTTGAACTCTCCTCTTCTATAGCTAGAGGCTGTTTTAGTAGAGAACCAGACATGCTGCTGGCCCCCACAGTACGAATTTCATAGCATCTGAAATTATGTTTCTCATAACTTCAAAATTTAACCAACGGTCTTTCCCAAATAATAGTTCTGAGCCAGGATTTGAAGGTAGCAACACCACTAGATTCATAGGCTGTTTTTATGACAACACTTTTAACTTAAAGAAACTAAGTTATTTCGGCCACTGTTTTTCAGGTTTGAGGTTGTAAATGGCAAGGATGACATTAAAAAATGCCAGGGGAATTCTACCAATTTCTTGGGTTTTCTAGTTGTCTCATGGAGAGACAGGACAAAAGAAGGCTACAGTTTCAGAAAAAGTTTGAGTTAAAATCAATATTGCAGTCTCAATGAGAGTTATCAGAAAGTAGCTTCCTTTTTTGGCTCTGAATACTACCTGGGTGCTTGCTGCTGTCCCAGTGACCTGCTTTGGGTAATATAATGTTTGCCTCTCACACCTCTCTGGAGGCATTCCAGAATGTAGCAGGGTACTAGCAAATAAGGGTGTGGCAAGTGAGCTCAAAAACTGTTTTGTGATTTGGTCTAGATGACAGTGAATGTTATTTTTCTTTCTGTTTTTCCTGAAGGTTCTTACACAGAACAGAGGCAGAAAGTCAAAAGATCTGCCTGTAGAGAAGAAAGAAAAGAAGAAGCCTGAGGGCACTGTCTTTACTGAGGAAGACTTCCGTAAATTTGAGAGAGAATACTTTGGAATCCCATAAACAGCATGAAAGGAACTCTTGCAGCTCCAGTCCATCTGCAGCTGAGTGCTCAGAAGGCAGGACTGGCCACTTCCTCAGCGTGTTTGAGAATGGACGTAGGAGATCTGTCACTTTGTCAGCAAATAAACTAGCATCAGACTTGCAGAATAACTGCACCTGTCCAGAACTCACTGCTGGGGCCATGGAGGTTCTCTTTGGTCTTTGCAATACATTGTCCTTATCATTACCTCCCTTCAGCCAGCATGTCTTGCGTTCTTGACATAGAAAGGTGGACTAATCCAAAAACAAATCTTGTTCTTCAGTAAGTAAGGCATCTGCTGCCAGTCTCCAACTCAATGGAGATATGTTTTCAACAGCAGAAGTAAATCATTAAGAGGGAAGGATGCTTCAAAAGACTGAAATCCTAGTACTCCTGCAGTTTCTGTCATTATAACATCTGTCAGGTTTTTCTGACATTGTAAAAAGTTTTGTATGTATTGTACGATTAAACAATTGTTGTTACAGGTGCTGCCTGTCTTTGCCTTTGTGATAGTGATTGTTATGAGTAGCTGTGATTGAAGAAGACAGACCAGATCATTGTTCTGAGCCAAGCGTTCCTGTCACTAGGATGACTCAGTTGTGTGAATGTCCCTGCTCTGATTCCTCTTGACATGTGTATTAATCTTCTCTCCTACATGCTCAGGCTTTCAGAGTTGCAGGTTGGAACTGAGATGACTCCTGCTCTGCCTGCTCAGTCACCCCTCTCCAAGAAAGATGTCTGAAATGGAGAAAGCTCTTTCTCATGTTTCAGCCCAAGCTTTTCTTCTGAGGTTACAGCTGCCCTAGGAGGGCACTGCTGCTGGATGCTGCCAGCTCCTGTAGGCAAGAATGCTTGTGACCCAAAAGTCAGCTCTATCTAATCATCTGAACCAGAGGCTGTGGTGCTGGATGGAAGAGATGGGGTTTTTGTGTAGTTTGTTGGTGTTTATTTTTCTTCACACTGCTAAATTCCCTGCTGCAATGAGTAGATTGCCCAGCAGATGGGAGTGTTGTTCCAGATGATCTTCCTTGGTAAACTACTGTAAACTTGCTTTTTGGAGCTCTTCCTCTGCCCCTTCCCACCCCTTCCTTAAACAAATGGGAAGCGTTCTCCCTTTAGACAAAAAAAGAGACAAGTACTAATAATACCAACCCTTGGTTAGAACTAACTCCCGAGTTAGTTCTTAGCTACTCTAAGTAGCTTGGTTCAGATGTTAGCAGTGGAAGGAATTTGGTATCCACCCAGTGCATCGTTAAGTCTGCACCACCTGTGTTCTGTTCTTTCCGTTGTGTCTGCAAGTATGGAAGGGAAGGTCACACAGATGTACTTTGTCCAAACAGGGAAATAGTGAACATACTAAAGCATGTGTTGTGGAAACTGTGTTAACAGCATATGGGAGGGGATTTCTTGTAATAAGATCAGTTCAACTGTTTGCAGCCAAAAGTGGTAAATAAAACAGTTCAAGGACCGGTTGCCCTCTTATTCAGTTTGTCTCTACTCCTAAAATGGAGAGATGTGTAGGAGGGGAGAGAATGACTGTGTAAAGAAATAGTTGAAAATGATGTGTATGCAGCATACATCTTTATAAAACTGATGCACTCCATGCTGGCTGCTGAGAGCATTAGCTGCTCTAATACATGTAGTTCTGTGTGGAGCTGTTATAGAGACTATTCAAAGCGTGGAAAAGCCTGTTCTGCTATGGCATGACTTGAAAGGGGCAAATCTTGTTTTGGTGCTACTTTGGCACCTACAAAGGGTGCTACTTTGTGTCCTATCCTCACCGTCAGCACTCAGCTGTTCCTTTGACTTTCAAGAAGTCCTTCTCAGCCCCCATATCTCCTCTCCGAGCTCCTCCTACGCACTCCTGTTCCTGTGGTCGTTCAGCCAACTTTCTACACCTTAAGGAAAGCAAAAACATCCTTTGTTGCTGCAGAAAGGAACGGTAGGGAAGCGTGGCTCATTCTGTTTGCACAAAACCCAGCTTGTTTGTTTGCAAACATAAGTAAATAGGGAAGTTGCTCTTTCAAAGTCAATAAGGAACTTTAAAGTGAACTCCAAAGCAGTCTTCCCCAAGGATAACAACACCCAGATACCTGGAATTTTAAAGTTGGATGGGAGCTCTAATTACTGGCAGGGAAGACTACTAGGGCTAACACAAGTAATCCCCATACTTGTGGCTATATGCCAAGAGGCGTGGCACTTGCTTGAGAAGGTAAAGCCAACTGTCAGACTGGGTTTTGCCAGCTGAAATCAAAGTTGCTTTTGCAGCCAACAGTATCCCCAACTAAATTAAATTTTACCTTGCAGGAGGGAGAAAAAGCAAGAAAAAGCGTGGTTCTTGATAAACCATCCTTAGAAACAGCAAAGATCTGGTATGTCCTAGCCTTGATTTTTTCACCTTTCTCACAGAGCTGGAGCTCCAGGAGAGAATGGCAGTGCTTCCTGCTTGTCGTTCAAGAACATGAGCTGGCCTTTGAGAGGAATGTCTTCATTGCCTGGTGGTAAGATAAAACTGCGTTCTCACACTCCCAACCATCTATATATTACAGACCAGTCATGCTTAGAGCATGCCAGCTCCTCACCCCAGCTGAGTAATCCAGGCAGTGGCTATCTGAACTTCGTGTGCCACCTCTCTGTTGCTTGCTCACAGCCAGGCTTCGCTGCCTCACAACAGAGAGAAGAGGGGTGAAGGGGGGAGAAGCTCCCATAGTTTCTTTTCCTATTGGGCCTCCGACCTGACTGGTTCCCACACTGGGAGCGAAGATGCTGCATCCCACAGCCCTCCAACCTGCTGGACAGCATTTCTCTCCTGCGCAGCTGCAATCCAGGGAGGCTGAGCTCATCGTGCTGCTGGCTCTCTTCCCAGCTCTGCGACATCAGCCAAGCATCCCACAGCAAAAAAAAAAAAAAAAAAAATAGAAGTGGTCGAGCTGAGAAAGAGAGGGGTGCCATCTTCCAGAACATCTACACCCACAAGCAGCAGGGAATCAAGATGGGAAGGAGCAGCTTTAATATAAATGCAAATATAAGCTCTGGAGGATTAATAATGTGGCCAAACCTTTCCAGGGAAGTGGTTTAGAGAAGGAAGAATAGTTCCCAGATGCTCAGTGCTGGGCTGGTTTCCTGTGAGTAAGATTCACAAAGCCATTTAATGGTCTTCCTCTGTTTGCAAATGGAAAGCAAACAGGAAAACTTGTTTGAGCAGGTATGAGTGGCTCAAAGCTTCTGCTGTATCAGCAAATGTGTTCTTCCTCAACATGGAAAGCAATGACAGCCAGTATCAGCATAGAAGTGTATCAGGAAGGCTGCAAGTATAAACTAATAAAACATGATTGCCCAGGACACTCAACAGTTTCTTCCCTCTGAAATAACAGAGCGAAACAAGCCTGGCTGCAAACGAACCAAAGTAGCTTGGCATACAAGACTTAAAATGCTGAAACGACCACAGTAGGGAGAGAGGAAAACCGTGGCTGGGAGGGGTCCTAGAAACTTTTGGAATCTCAGTCCTTGGCTAGTTTGGCTAGTTTTTTTTAGGAATGACTTCCCTTTCAATCTTGCTGATGATCCACACAGTGTTGGATCCACACCTACAAAACTAATGGGCTCTGAACACCTTGGGTAAGGGGTTGGTCACCACAGAAAGGGGAACACAGCAGCAGTACCCTAAATAGCTCACAAATGTAATGGTGAAGCACATGGAAGTTTCTCACTTTGAAACAAGAAGAACAATCAAATGAGGAATGTAAAGGAAGGCAAGCTGCCTAATGCTTGCTTACAGCTCAAAACCTGGAACTCCAGCCAAAGCAGGCTGAACGGTTAGTAGGTTTGAGACGGATTAAAGGTTTGCATGACTATCCATAGTTACATTAAAGAGGATTAACAGCGCCAGCCACTAACTGTTGGGGGCAGGGGAAATGGAAATCATGAAGGTTGCTCTGCCCGCAGGGTTACATACACCTTGTTCTGAAGGAATTAGCTGTTGGCAGGGCTGAGCAGCAACCTAGCCAAGCTGAGCAGCACCATTTGTATGCAAGAAAGCTCATTTATCTCCTCCATTAACTTGTCATTAATGGAAGGGAAAGAGTAGATGTTCTTCTCTAGTTGTCCTTGCACTCCAGTGGTGATGCAGAGGAGTCAGGCTCACAGCAGGTAGCTTGTGCTTTGGAAATCCTCTGCCCTACTTAAATAAAGTTGAAGTGGTTGCTCACTTGCGTCTTGTTGCCTGCCACTGGGAGTTGTAATGCTATAATGTGATGGAAAGCACAGCAACAATAGCAGGGTAGCAAAGTCCTAGACTGCAGCAAGTAACAATAAACCCAAATGCAGAAGCTGCAGACACAGAAATAAAGGAAAAAAAAAATCTGCTTACCCTTAGAAAGTTTCAGGTATACAGGGATCTCCAGCAAAATACCCTTGCCTTCACTTACAACCCTTACATGAGGTCTGGGAAGGGGTGAACCCTTGCCTCACTCCTTCCAGTCATTCAATGCATTGCTTGCACCTGAGCTCCCCTGGGTTAAACCTGCCTTCCCACCAGGTGCTCAGTCGTTGTTTCAAGCCCTGACTTAGCATTTCCACTACAGGTGTGAAAGAGAGAAAAAGGGCAACTGAAGGAAAAATGAGAGGTGGCTAACCATTACTTTGAGAACATGTGCCTGTATAATACAAAAATTGGAGCTTGTGGGTAGAGCTAGCCTCATTTAGTGGCTTCTGATGCTGCGTGAGTGCACTGAAAGAAGTGCAAAGCTGGGATAGCTGAGTGGCTGAAATAGTACTGCCTAGGTCTGATCCCTTGTGACTGTGATGGTTCTGTCACCACGATACATGGCCAACAATTCCCTGCCACTAGCACAGTGCTGAGGAAAACTCCTCTCCTGAAGGACACCCTGTCCTTGCTGCTGTTCTGGGCTTTCTGCCAGGGCTCTTTGGAAGCGTTTGCTGTCATTCTGCTTTCATTCTCCAGCACTGCAGATGGAGGTTATTTTTGCCCCTTCGGTTATTCACAGGGGCAAGTGGTGGAGTCCTCAGTGGCAGCGGTTTCCTCTTCTTGTTTACAAAGAGAACTACGAGCACCTGGGTCTCCCTAAATGCAGGATGAAGAGGAAGGTAGCTATGAATACTGAGCTTTTAGAGAGTGCAGATTGGGAAAATTCCACTGTTTCCACTGGCTTCCTCTGGGGTCTGGTAAAGCCTGTATTTCATGCACCAAAGTCTATTTCTGGCAATGGTGTCACCATGCATGTAAACAATTGAGATTGTTGAATCACATTTTTTCTGAGAGCCTGTGAGAAAACGAAGAGGTTCCTGAAGCCTGCACATGTGAGATCAGTCAGGAGGCTGTCCGCTGCTCAGGTGCTTTTTCCCATCTCTTAATGCAATGATCTTGTAAATGCCAAATGAACATACAGAGGAACAGCCAGCCCTAACCTTCAGCCTGTGCAAAGTCTTAACTAAGTTACTAAGTATGGAAACAGCATCATTGCAAGAGGCATCGCATAAGATCAGCTCGTTGGCTGCATCTGAAAAGCTGTGAGCACAAAGACCATCCATGTGAATGCCTGAGCTGGGCAATATGCTTGGACAAGTCAGTGCAAGTGAGCAGGAATTAACGCCCCGGGAAGGATGCACACATCTACATGCAAAAGCTGTCCCTGGCAGGACAAGCAGGGATTAAGGAATGTGATGAATCACTAAATCTGGGTATCAGTGAGCCAAAGAAAATAATCATCACACACGTGATGATAAAGGGTACATCCCAAATCCTGAAGGTATTAGCAGGTACAGCTGCGCTGACCACAGAGCTTACTGAATTTCTGAATCTCACAAAAGAAACAAACAAAAAAAAAGAATACTTAATATTGACATAAATTAAAGAATGCTAATAAATCTAATGGGCTGAAATCACCCTGCTATGCAGGATCCTACCTGCCACCTTCACCTTGCTTCTTCAGTGTAACACAGAACATCACAGCACACTTTCCCAATTGCACCTTCCCTCCCAGCACTCCAGTATGAAGATTATCTCACATAGCACAGGCTCCCATCATAACCACTACCCTCAGTGCAGCCTGCAAACCCCTACTCCCAAGCACCTGATCCTCTGCATGCTTATGTTCTGGAGGTATCTTCCAGCTCATCTCCTGATTTCATAACTCTTGTACCCTGCACCATTCACCTCCACCAGGAATTGTGTTGAAGCCTGACAAGCACATAAAGCTCCCTCAAGAACCTTTTCCAAAACCCATTCATAAGCACTATTAAATGTCTCCTCTACAGTCTCATAACCTTTATGATTTTGCCTTTGATATGAAAGATCTGAGAGTATCCCCATTAGATCCCCTCCATCTTACCAGATATATCAAGTATAAATTCAGTTGTTCATTAGCTGTAATGTGTGCTCTATCACTTGAACCACATTAACTAAATGCTATTTGCACACTCCGCAGTGGAGCAGCGCACTCTAGCTGGTTGAAGCCCCAAATGATGTGGTGCAAATTAACGCTTATTTTACACATACCCAATTACCACACAAAATTCAAGTTTACTATAAAATAATTTATTAAGACACCATACACAGCTTAAGCAGCAAGCATATATACATGCACATGAACACTACTGACTACCCTACTCAGGGACTCTAGCTCTTTTGACTTTGGCCTTCCTCACCTCTTCAATCAGATCTTTCAAGTACTGGATTTCCTTACTCAAGGAATCTGCTTTCTCTTTCAGGGCCTGATTTTTCTGTTCCAAATCTCTGCACTCCCCTGACAGTGCCTCCTGTTCTGCCCTCTTTTTTTGCCGGTAACGCGTGGCAGCTGTCTTATTTTGCTCCATCTTTTTCAGTTTCTTATCTATTTTCTTTTCTCCTTTCACCTTTGCTGACACTACCTTCTCAGCAGGGTGGTCATATGGTTTGGACCGCACAGAGCCACAGGTGGCATCTGCAGGGAACTGGTTGTCATTGGGGGATCCAAGTGAATTGGTAGGACTATGCTGGGGCGTTCCCAAATAAGAGTCTGGGCTCATGCATATTCCACTATCATCAGAATGGTTCTCCTCCTCTTTCTCTGACTTGGTGATCACTACCAGAAAGGTGGGGCCCTCCTGTTTCCTTTCACCTTCCAGAACATCCACTTCACTACCTAGTTCTAAACTAAATGAATGGTCTGGAACAGAAGTCAGAGACTCTGGGGAGAGGGGAAAAGACCAGAGGGAAGCTAAAGGGGCCATGGGATCTGCTCCAATTGGAGATTCAGGGAGACTGGTGATTAGATCAGGTATGAGTGGAGGTTCTTTGTTGTGAAATTCCTGGGTGGTAGGGTTAAATAGAAGATCACACGTGTCTTCCAACGTGGCCATCAGCTCGTCTGGTGAGACGGTGGCTTCCAGATGTTCCATTCCTAACAGGGCATCAAAATCAAATTCCTTCAGATCCATCTTCTCCACCATCCACTCCATGCCAGAGAAGGCATCCTCTAAACAAGGGAGAAAAGAAATGCGTATTTTTTCAGTGAGCTAATAAAGTAAGCTTCTAGAAGGTACCTTAAAAAAAAAAAAAAAAAAAAAAAACCACAACACCCAAAATTTTTAAACCTACCCCCGTAATTTTTAATGGTACAAAAGATTAACTGCCAGAACTTCAGCCCACCATGAGGGGGGAGTACTGCATGATACAATGTACCTGTCAGCTGTTATGACATTCCATCCCTCTTACTCTCAACTCTGTACAGACTCAGGGCTATTTGAAACGCACAACCACACTTGTTTCTTGTGACCTCTTCCAAGGAAGGCTACTTTAACAGCTGGCATGTTATTAAAAGGGCAACACAAGTGTCATTTTCCCACAGGCCAGTCTAGTAACTAGCCATTTGCTATTGTGTAATCAGTGTTGTATGGATGCTTTCCAGGCCTGAGTACACACCTGATGTTACCTCTACATTTAGAGAACTTGCGCAGTATATTTTTGAACGGGAGGGTTACATTGTTTATTATGTGCCACCACCACAGATGTATTTTCTCCACATGAATTAGTGCCTTACCCTGGCTGCTATCTATGGTGTTGCCTAAACTGTCCACAGCGAGCCAATTGGAGGAGACTGCCTTAGCCTTGTCGCTGGAGAACCCATGCGAACCGAGGGGCACGGCCACCTCCAGGTAGTCATCGAGGAGTCCCAGACTTTCCTCAGCCACCGAACACGGCTGGCTGAAGGGGGAGGACTCCCCCAACAGCATCTCGTTGTTCAAGAGGCTCATCTTGGTCAGGTTTTAGTGCTTTGACGTCAAAGGATGTAGACAAGAAGGTCTTTCTGTCGACTACAGCAGTGCTGCTGTGCGGTGCCTTGAAAAACCTGTAAGACAGACATTTTTTCCACACACATCAGTGGTTGTTCTACTGGAATAACAGCCTTCACAGTAAGACACCGCATGCAGGGAGCGTGGTGGTACGCCAGACATTTTCCAGGCAGTTTGCCTTTAACTTTTCATTTTTCTTTCTTTCTTTTTTAAAGGCTCTTCTATTCCCATCCCCAGCAGAGCAGAACCAGCTCAGCGCTGCCCACGCCCCGCCCACCGCGCCCTGACTCACGCCCACGCCGCAGCCATTTCGCGATCCGCCGCCTCCCGCTCCCCACCCGGCGCCGCCGCCATTTTGTGCCGTGCCACGTTTCCACCTCGTGTCGCTGGGACCGCCATCAACGCCGGGGGAGAAGGGGGAGGGTGACAGGACGGAAGGACAGGGCACCTTTCTATGCTGACTTATGGACCAGGGGGATTCGGTTGAGAAACGTCGTGAGAGGCTCACATCCTTCTATCAGGCTGGTTTCACACCATCCCCTCCAGCGCTGCGGCATTAGGGATCCACTCATACCTCAATGCCCGCACGCTGGAAGCCCCGCCATCTGCTATTCCCAATGCCCCTCTATGAAGGCATTCCCCTGCACGACTAGGACACCCGCATAGGGAGCTAATACTCACAAAAACCTTACAAACTAGACAAGCTCCAAGCTTTCAGGATGTGGTTTTCTCTAAAACATAGGGTATTACGGCTCGCTTTTCCTCTCGAAGTGTCACTTCCTGCCGTTTCTCTCACTCCCAAGTAGGCTTTTAGCCCCCACCCCCACCCTATTACCCAGACAGCTTCTCCTCTGGGGGTTCGTTTCGCACCGCAGAACCCCGCTTTAGGAACCGGGCGAAGGGAAAGGTGTCACACAGCGTGCGCTCCCCACACGCGCTACTCACGCCATGGTTGCAGATGCCGGGGATGTGCCGAGGCCGCCGCCGCTGCTGCTGCGCCCGCTGCACTGGCCGATGCCGCCGCTGGCCCTGCCGCCCTTAGAGAGCCATGGCGGCTGGGGTGGGGGAAGTGTTCCGGTCAGCGCCGCGCGAAGATGTGCTGCGCACGGCCACTACCACAACCTGCTAGCTCAGCTAAAGGCACACAATGAGGTGGCACAGCGCGCGCTCCGCCCTTATATGTGACCGCGCTAAGCAGAACGAGATCCGGCCTGATGTGTCCTTCCGCTCTTCGTCACCTGCCTCTCGTCAGCGCCCTTCGGTCTGTAACTTCTGGCCTGGGCTTCTCTCGTTCCAACCTGGTTCGGATTAACCATAAAAGCTGACAACAATAACTTCCCCCCCTGTCGTGAGCTGATGGACAGAGGGACTATATGGTGTTCCTCCGCGCGGACACCTCCCAGCCGAGAAGCGCGGTCACGTGATGAAGCAGCTGAGGGCGCTCCTCCCGCCCACCGGCGAGCGCTGGAGGATTTGGGGGGGCTCTTGCTCCTGCCCGCCAACAAAGCCAGGGCGCTCCGGCGCTGATTGGCTGGCGGCGTGGTATTCATGTGCACTCTGAGCCGCCATTGGCTGAGGCCCGAAAGAGGCCAGATGGTGAGGCGAGATGCACGGAGGACAAGGAGAGGTAAAATGGCGGCTGGAGCGGAAGAGTTGTGATTGGTGCCTCGTGTTTCTGTGGCCTTACCTCCCTCAAGCACCGCGTCTGCTTTGTTCCTAGCAGCTTCTTACGTCCTCCACACGAAGTCCTGTCCCCCCTCCAAGCACTGTTCTTTCTGCACTCTTAACAGCCCCGCTGGACAAAGCCCAGCAGAATTGAGGGCAGAAGTTTGCTGAGGAGAGTCACTGCTCCCTCAGATAAGTGGGAGCCTCCCTGCCTGCGACCTGCTCCTCAGAGATAGGACTGTGCGGGGCATTGGCTGAGTTTTTGTGTCCCTGACACTCTGCCAGCCTTGTAACTATGGCGTAACATTAGCCTTTGGTGGTTTGTGAGGAGACCCAAGGGCAGCCATTACTCAGATGGAGGAGAGCATTAGTGGGTCATCTACACAGTCTCACAGCCTTAGCAAGCAGCCTCACCTTGGGAAGATTTTCAAGCAGTTTGCATTATGTTTTATCTGAGCTAAATCAAACAAGTGAAAAGGCAGCCCTGCAACCTCACTTCTAGCCCAGCCTTTACGTTTCTAGAAGCTCCTCGGTCCCTCAGCTGGTTTTGCTAACCCTGTATAAAACCCATGGAGAACAGATGGTTTCAGTCCCCTCATGATTCTCTGAGGACACTAAAGCACCATATACAGCTCAGAGTGAGCTAGAAAGGTTGCTACCCATGTACTCTCTCACTACCCAGCCTTTGGTTGCTTTCCCACATTACCAGCCCTACAGCACACCATCATCTCTGAAGGTTAATCATAGAATGGCTTAGCTTGGAAGGGACCTTAAAGATCATCAAGCTCCAACCCCCCTCCATGGATCCCTGCTTGCTCAAAACATTATCACCCTGTCGGGCAAACTCCTCTTGGCTCCACTGCAAAAGACTCCTTTGTTTTCCAGTTAGGGTTTGGTAGTATTTGTGTACAGCCATGGCCTTGGCTCAGTTTACACAGGTATAACTGCCTGGAATTCATTAAACAACTCGACTGATAATTCCGGAGGACAGCCATGGCCAGGGAGGGCAGTCATGGCCAGGTTTCTACTTTTAGCAGCAGGTTGTCACCATCACCGATACAAATCAGGGTATGTCAGTCCAGCTCTGTAAACTGAACACCGGCTGCTGAGAGAAAAAATGCAATTTTTCCTCTTCACTGTGGTGTTTTTTGTTTGTGTGTGTGTTTATTTTGTTTTTGCTTTTCTTGAATAAAGCATCGATTTTGAATGGCTCACTAAGATGGAAGAGGCAGCAGAAAAAAATGCCCTCCACTGCCAGAAAGCATGCTAGCAACTGAGTGATCTCAGATGACTGCTCTGATACATGCACCAATGAGCAGGCAGATCTTGCTACAAAGCAAAATTCAGAGGCTGGATGCAGCAGCTTACAAAGAAGCTCGGTGGGTGATTGGCTTGGGTGGATGAAAGGCAGCATCTCTGTGTTTGGCTGGCTGAAGGAGGGCTCTCACATCCCTCACACCCAAGTGCAAAGAAAAAGGTGATTGTACCACTGTAATTGTAAAATAAACAGAAATGCTCTACCCACCCAATCTTTCCTCTTGAAATGGTAATTATAGATTTCTGCAGAAAGGACTCTGGGTATGTGTGAGCAAGAATCATGCAAGCAAAAATGATGTATGTAATAAGGAACTTAACCCAGATCTGCCTGTTTTCTAGCTGCCTGCTTCCCTTTTTATTTTGCAAATGTGGAAATCTGTCTTCGATTTGAGCACCAGACAGGTTTTGTTGTGTTTTTTTTTTTTCTTTTCATCATCCTCAATTCAGGAAGTGAAATCAGGTAACAAAAAGCCAGCCATTTAGTAATAATTAGTGTTATTTCTCCCCTTTTCCTGAAAGAGACTGCAGAATTATCATTGTTACATAATTTAATGAGACACATCTCTAATTCCATTACGAAACACGTCTCTGCTTTTGCAGATATTACATCAGAGGTTTCTCCTTTGAGGTTTGAGTTTTGTGACTGAGCTAGAAGATAATTCGTCAAGCCTAAATAACAATTCCTTAGGATTTTTTGTGCAAATAAAACAGCAAATGTTTTCTAAGCAGAGAACTACTAGCTAGCCACTAACTCAAACGTTCCTTTTTCAATACCACAGAATATATTTGTGGCTTAGATGTGTGGAGAGAAGCCTGATAGCTCTGAAGAAAATTGAATTTGCAGCACAAAAAGATGGCTTCTGAGTGAAGATTAGTGTGTGTGCATGGTCAATAAACTCCTGATGACACATTAACAGCTTTAGCTCTGCTGATGTTATTTTTCTGCCTTAGGCATGGTATCTCAGCAGAGAGCTCCTGCGATAAGTCGGATCCATTCCTATTCAGAAGCTAGGGGCCAGCTGCAGGCAAGAGGAGATGCTCATGCAGAGCTCACAGCAGGATAGAGGCCAAAATGACCTTGCTGGGGAGTGACGAAATTCTCAGATGTATGCAGCACTGCAGAAAGCACCAGGAGGTAAACTGATTCTCCTCCATTCACCCTTCTTCTTCATTAAGATGGAAAGTCAATATATGAACTTGCTTTTTTTTCTGTCTGTCTGTCCTTCTTTCTGTCTGTCTGTCTTTCATCTTAACGTTGCGAAGGAAAAGAGTTTTTCTTTTATCAATAAATATACGGGAGATAAACATGCTGTATGCTGTGTTATTAAATACACAAAGGGAAGACGTAAATGTTTCCATAGTAACATCTCTTTGCACAGTCTGGCTGGCCTGTATATGACGCTCAGGGACTGTCAAGGGGGGGAGGCACTTGTGGTGTTGCATAGCGGGGAGTGAGGAGGGGGATGTGAGGGATATGCATTACCAGGGCCAGGAAGATAACCACCAACAGTAATGCAGATTGAGATGCTGGCCCCTTCCTGGAATGCTGTGGCAGCCAGGAGGGTTTGCAGGCCCCATGGTGGCTCTGTCAGAGTGCTTTGGGCTCCTGCAGGGTCTCACACCCCAGGGGGGGGTCCTTGTGATAATTTCTGTCCTTTGAAGCTGCCATTCATAGGCAGGGCAACAGGAAACAAACCCCAGGCATTCAGCCTAACTCTGCACTTCAGTGAGCAAAGAATTTCCAGACACCAGGAGGAAATTTTCCGGCAGAGATTGTTGAGGGAAACACGAAGATGGATTGAGGCAAAGTGCTTATAAAGTCTGAGCAATTTTGAGGGAGAATTACCTACAGTCTGTGCAGCTCAGGGTAATTTGCAGTGCTTGGTTGCTTCTCCCCTCATGCGGCACAAACGGATAACCGGAGAATTGGTTCTGCCAGATCCCTGTTGTAAGCTCTTTAAGGATTGCTTTATAGACCTTCCATTTTAAAACCGGGTGGAGAGATGAATATGTGTGATTAAAGATCGAGCTGGGAGGTATTAGTGTCCATTTTTTATTATGTACAAACAAGAAATAAGTTAGCCATATGCTGTGCCTCGTTTGTTTTGGACTGGTGCACCAAATAGAATCTCTAATAAGTCATTCATTGCTTACCCACCCCCTCAGTTTCTTATGTTTCCATCCTGATATGTAAATATCACCGACATTTGAAAGGAGATTAATAAAAAAAAAAGGATTAAATCTGCAATTTACATTTGCAACTTGCAGTTCAATAATTTCAGACGGATATGGAAACACTCCTGGTTGTCCACCTACATTTTTCTTGCTGAGCAAAAGCAGGCATGCCAAGCACATGCTGATAGCTCACAAAATACATCTCTCCAGAGGCTCAGTTACTCAGAGCTGGACAGGCTGTGGCCAGCTGCCATGAGGAAAAACATTGTGCAAATCCAGTCAGAGGGAGGTGAGATTTAACTTGTAACTTGCCCAAGCATGAATTTCCTGAGCAAAGCTACAACGGGTTGAAAATGATGTTTAGCAAAAAATATGTGTGAAGGGGGAGGGAGCTGACTTTTGTTTGGAGCATCCGGGGATTTGGGGGTTTTCTCATCTTCCAGCCGTATTTTATGATGATGAAAGGACTTGAGGGTCGAGTATAATCCCTTGTGTGTATTAGCACACATGGGAACAGTTTAGCACACAAACGAAAGCCTTCCAGTTATACAAACAATAAAAGAACAGAACTGGATCTCATCGGAAACTGCTGTTATTCACCAGGACTCAATTATGCAGACGCAGTGCAGATGTGTGTGCACTCAGTGCCTACCGAAGTGAAGGTGCATCAGTAGCAACATCAGCTGGAGATGCACATGTGCCAGGTGCCTTGTGCCTTCCTGTGAAACAGGATGAGAAGGAGAGTGGCAATGCAAATTCCTTTTTCTGTTTTTTTTTTAACTTTCCAGGAGTTGAGCTCACTGATCCTTGTCTCTTCCAACTTGGGATGTTCTGTGATTCTACGATTCTTCATGTCACTTCAGAGAGTACTGAAAAGCAAAGAAGAAAAACTGCAAACGTGTACTCTGTTAATGAAATCAAGCAGGATCCTGAGGATATCTTGTATGCATTGAGATCACTTGGTCTCTGCTGCTGGCAGGCAGATTCAGCAGGAACACAGGCATACCAGGCAGCTCAGGTGGAGCTCTTCAACTCACCTGGGGATAAATCAGAGTTGAGGCTGTAGCTCCCTGGATTCAGAGGGAACACTGCAGCCATTATTTTGTAACCCTTCTCTGCTCTGTAAGCAAAAGCTGTTGGCAGCTGGAATTTACCAGCAGACTTTAATCTGTTTCGATATATGTGTTTG